ATGCCCGACCTAATCCCAGATGGGGTCGGAGGATCGCGCCGCACCGCCGATGCGGCTCGATGTGGAGCCCGAGGTTCTCCACGCCGGCGTCGCCCGTGCACCGCCGGTGCATCGCCGATTCATCGCCGATGCATCGGCGACGTACGGTAGGGGCCCGACTACAAAAAACCTTCGCAAGAAACCCAATCCTGAGACCCCAGAACTTCATCGATTTTTGGTGTGGGAGCGTCGCGCCTTCCACAGCAGAACCATCGAAACTCAAGGAACCCGGGGCGCCCTGGAGGCAAGCAGGGTAATTCTTGGCATGGGTCTCCACTGCACTGGCGATGAGGAGGAGGAGGAGGAGGAGGAGGAGGAACTGTAGTTGACGTAAGGACGAGGAAGAGGGGGAAGAGGAGAAGGAGAAGGTGGAGGAGGAGGAGGAGGAGGACAAGGAGGAAAAGGAGGAGGAGGAAGAGGAGGAGGAAGAGGAGGAGGAGGAGGAGGAGGAGGAGGAAGAGGACGAGGAGGAGGAGGAGGACGAGGAGGAGGAGGCGGAGGAGGAGGAGGAGGTGGCGCGATCCTTCGACCCCATCTTCTCGGACCCCCTCCAGGAGGCCTCTCTTCCTAGGGCCCGCCTGCGGCATAGGTTGAAGTCGGGCCTGTCCCTCTACAGGGGGAGTATTCTAAAGTAGTAAAAAAATGGTCTGGGGACGATGTTTTGAATATTTTTGGGCATCTTTTCCGTATTTTCCCGTTTTCATTTATGTTTCGCCCAGAACCCCTTTGTAGGGGGACGTGCCCGACTTGGGTCCTCGTCGCGCCGGCCAGCGGCGGCCCCGCCCTGCGGGCGGTGCGGCGCGGCTCGCCGCCCGGCGGCCCAGGGTCGGTCGGTGTTGGGCGATCTGACGTGTCTCAAGCAGTGGCGAAGCGTCCTGGCTCGCCTATAGACCTACCAAGCAATGTTCTAAGACCCTTTCGTGGTTTCCACGAAATGTTCTTAGAACAGTTCTGGCGGAGTCTGTCTTGTTCTGTCACATCGGGCTTATGTTCTAAGAACATTGTTTTTGTTCTTAGAGCATTCTTGGGTTCTAAGAACATTTCGTGGTAGGACTATAGGAATGCAGGGACGGTCGGTCCCTGCCCAAACGTGACTACCAGTGGCGGGTTCTTTTTCAATCCCACGACTTTTTAAGGGTCATGGGCGACGTCGGGGTGGTGTGGGGGCATATTGTTCCCCCGTTCTCCAAGAGAAACAACGAAAATGTGTACACCAGGATCCCGTACACACCAGAATCCGCGTTCCTGTGCGAATTTCAGCGCAGGGTCGGAAAAAGCGTCGGTGTATCGAGCTCGCTTCCCTACTTCAGAAGGGGAGCACAAACACACAGACGGGCGGCCTCGCGACACGCCGGCGCGCCGCCTCTCTGGGCGGCGCCCCCCGGTGCGCTCCGCCGGGGAGTGGCGAGGCGTCCCGGGCTTTCCTCTAGGCTTGTGCTGTTCCAGCCTACTCTGGCTCGGGGGCGGAAAAGAGGGGGGTGATGACTAGGGGGGGGGTGGATTTCATGGCGGGGGCCGTGATATTTTCTCAGATTTCATGGCGCCTCTTCTTGTTTCATTACGTCCCAGGCCCCCCCGCTGGGCCGCGCACGTGCCGCCGGTCATGATTTGCACCCCCCCTCTTGGACCCCCCCCTCTTGGCCGCTACCGACTACTCTGGCCTGGATCGCCAGAAAGAATTTCGGGCATCAGGGAAGCACCGAAACCGGAGGGTTTTCGCGTGTCGGGCCCTGGGATACGCTCGTTCGTTACTGTTTCGGCACGCTTGCGACGCTCTTGCGACACTTTTCTGGACGCTGGATTTTTTCTGGGATGTGGTCTTTAAGTGCGATGGGGACAACATAACTCTAGGCTTAAGTCGGGCGTATCCTTCTGCAGGATGACTATTCAAAAATAGTCTAAAAGTAGCCTGGGGCCGATTTTTTGATTATCTGTCGATCATTGCTGAATGTTGTTGGGCAATTTTTATTTTTCGTTCAAATACCCCTTGAGGGGGACATGCCTGACCTAACTGTAGACCCACCAATATATGCTCCAAAAATCGAAGAAGATAAAACGCAATAAACATACACTTTTGGCGCTCCGCGCGGATATCCTGGATCCGCGGTGGGTCCCCCCATGGCGGCGCCTCCGGCGCCGCCCCTGGCGCGCTCCACGCGCCAGGGGGTCCAGCGCGGATCCAAGAAGTCCGCGCGGAGCGCCAAAAGTTTCTGTTTATGGCGTTGTTCCTTCTTCTTAGACCCCTTGGTGCTCTGCACGAACTTTTCTCAGAGCTTGTTTGGTTGAACCTGTCTTGCTTTGACACATCGGGCTTACCTGTCTGAGATTATTGTAACACTGTTCTTGGAACACTTGTGGGCTCTGCGAATATTCCGTGGTAGGCCTATAGTAATGCCGTGACGATCGTTTCCCTGGTCAACTCCGCGCCCAATGGTTGAGGTTAGGATGTAGTCAGGAACCTTGGTAAGAGGAGCCGCTTGTGATTGGGCCCCGAGGACACCCAAATCAGGGCTCATTTCGACTCCTCCGATTCGATTCGATTCGATTCGATGTCGAGGGCCTCCGATTCCGATTCGTTTCGACTTCTGATTCCGCTTTGGACTCCGATTCCTCATTGGAGGCCTTCTAGCCTGCCGATTTCTGCCGATTCGACTTCTCCCGACTTGGCTGCCGATCTCCGCCGACCCGATTCCTTTCGATCGCCGATCCCACTTGTCGATTCGATTCTGGGCTCTCCTGCGAAATTGGCCAGAGTCACTAGACCAGGTCTGCCCGCGCTGCCGTAGCTGGTGTCTTTCTGCGTGGCGGCAGTTCTAGCCCGTGTAACGGGCGGGGGGGTGCGCGTCCCCCAGAGCACGCCAGTGAGCCAGGTCCTACGAAACCCAATCCTGGCAACGCCCGGGAGGGGTTGAGGCCACCCTGGACTACTGGAGGGGCTTGCGGAGGCCAGCTGGGAATACCTTGGCGGGGCCGGACGGGGCCAGGACGAGGACAAATCCGTTCCAGAACGTTCCGGGACGCTCCGAGAAGGCCGCGGCGCCCGAGACATCCTCGGGAGCGGTCGGATGTCAGAGCTGTCCGATTTGTTGCCTCACCCGATGTTATCCTCGTCCTGGCTTCGTCTTAGTTGACAAGTCGTCGTACCAGGAGTAAGGGAGGAGGAGGAGGAGGAGGAGGAGGAGGAGGAGGAGGAGGAGGAGGAGAAGGAGGACGACGACGAGGAGGAGATGGAGGGGAGAGAGAGAGAGAGAGAGAGAGGAGGAAGGGAGGAGGAGGTGGAGGAGGAGCACGATCGAATTGCGGAGCCAGGCCGACCAGGCCCGCGGGCCCCGCCCGCTACCACCCGCACTTCCAAAGCACGGCAGCCAGCTGTTGCGCTTGGCAGCTCTGGCGCACCAGGCCCTCTCTGCGGGCCCCGAGAGTGTACACCACCACCACCACCTCGATGCCTCCTCCCTCCTCTTCCTCTTCCCTCCTCTTCCCTCCTCCCTCCTCTTCCCTGCCCCTCCCTCTCTTCCCTCCTCCCTCCTCCACCACCGATGCCTCCTCCCTCCTCTTCCCTCCTCCTCCTCTCCTCTCTTCCTGGGGGAGGGGGAGGGGGTGAGGGAGGTGCTGGTGGTGTATTTCCGGGCCCCGTCGTGCTTTCGCCGGGTCTCGGGCCAGAGGGCCGCCACAGATCTCTGAGGAGGAGAAGGTACAGATACGCCGCTGCCCTTCCTCGTTTTCGTTTCTGGGCCTCTGGGCGGCCCTCGTCACCACCGCTGGATTCTTGTCGAAGTTCTGGTCAGGACGCACCCCAGGAGAGGTCCGGGAAGTAGCGCTGTTGGCACCTTCTAGTGGCTTCCCCAAGATTCGTCCAGTTCGATAAGTGCCGCATGAAGGTGGGGTCAGGGGCTCCCGTTGTGACACACACACACACACACATCGATGTTTTTTCTTCGCAGCGTCGGATCTCAGGGTTCTGGGCACAACACAGAACCACAACCACAGCCAAGTTGATTTTCTGGGAGGGCCCGTCGGGGAATTGCCCACTGATCTTGTGGTGTTTGGCAGTCCTGGGACGCAACATCGACCACAAGCAGCTCTCTGAGCTGGCTTCGGTGTTCGGACGTTTGTTGGACAACTCCCAGGGTGTGCCCTCGATGTGGCTGTGTTCGAGTAGGGGATCGACTACATACTTGATTTTCCTCAATTCGATTCTTCCGTAGAGTCCATGAAATACGTGTACGATGTTTTTAGGTTTGCGATCATTCTGCGAGGAAATCAGCCTTGGGTTGAATCGAGTTCGTTGTCGATCCCCTGCTCGATGTGTCCGCTTGCTGTCCCCGCAGGGGTGCAACAGTCCCTGTGCTCGGGATGGGTCTGACCCATGTCGGTGCGCGATGAGAGTTTTGGTGCTGCCCGGAGGACGGCGGCGGCGAGAGCAGCAGGCATTCCAGAGAGGTGGACTCCCTAAGCTCCTCCTCCCTCCTCCATCTCCTTCTCCCCTCCTCTCCTCTCTCTTCTCCTTCGCCTCCCCTCTTCTCCGCCTCCTCCTCGTCCTCCTCCTTCTCCTCCTCCTCCTTTCTCCGTAGCCATGTTGGCTCAAGATGCTTTGTTCCGCAGGGGAACACGTTGATACCGCCAGTCCGCGGCCAGTGCCAGGGTTGCTCAGCCCGACAGTTTTGCTGAGGGGTGGTCCGCCCCACTCTCGAGTCAGTCTTCGCCATGGCGCCGAAGGCTCAGCCAGGTTTCGTCATCTGCACTGCGTGCCGTTCCAGGTGGAACTTCCGCAAAAACCCTCACTGTTGGACTTGTTGCCAGTTCATCGAGCTCCAGCCAGCCAGCCCGTCGCCGCGCAATGGTGTCTGGGCGGGCCATGGAGCTGGATGGGGTTTCGCCGAAGGGCAGCCCCAAGGCCAATGCGGCAGCGTCGAGTGGGAGCCCCAAGGCCAAGGCAGCAGCGACGGGCGGGGCGGCCGATGGTCGCCGCGGCTTCCCTGGCGCCCCCTGGTCGGCGGCTGGGTCTTCGGAGCTTGACAAGCTGCTGGCTATTCCCGGCCAAACTTCGGGAGGCAGTGGCGGAGGCCCGCGACTTCGTCCCGCCGCCGCCCGCAGCAGCCCAGCGGACCCTGGAGCATCAGCTGCAGTCGGCCACGGACCGCCGCATCAACCTCCAACGCCAGCTCGACGAGGCAGCCGACGCCCTGCTGGCGGTCGAGGAGCACCTGGACGAATGCCGTGGCTGTCGCGACACCTGTGCGGCCAGCCTGGCGGAGGCCCAGGCGGAGGAGGCCAAGCTCCTGCGTAGCCGCGCCCAGGCCTCGGGCATCGCGCCACCGACTCCTGGCGGCTCGACGTCGGTCACCTCCACCTTCGACGTGGCGTCGCTCGAGAACTTCAGCGAGCTGGAGGAGGAGGCCCAAGCTTATCTCCGACAGATGTGCGAGGAGGGCCACAGGGTCACGCTGGAGGCCCAGGCGACATTCGAGCGCAACTGTCAGGAACAGCTCCAGCGGTTCAAGCATGACGTCGATGAGGCCGCGGCCAGCAAGCGCCGCAAGCGGGGGCGCCCTCTGCCAGACGGGCCTGCTGGGGCACCCGCTCAGAAGCCAGGAGCAGCAGCTGCGGCCGAGCAGCAGGCGGCCCCCCCTGCTGCGGCAGCGGCTGCCGCGGCCCCCGCCGCTGCGGCAGAACCCTCCAGCGGTTCCCGCGAGCACGCAGCGAGGGCAGCCGAGCTCGGGGCAGCAGCAGCCGAGGCAGCCATCCAGCGGGCCACCGAGCCGAGGGTGGCCAGCGGGCCAGCTGCGCCTGCTGCTGCTTATGGGGCAGCTGGCCAGTTCGCAGGGTAGCGCCCCCCCGCCAGAGGAGGACGGGGCGGCCCGCCTGGTCCGCTGCTAGGGCACGTTGCGAGGGAGCCGAGGCCGCTCGGTTGTCAGCCCCCCCCCCGCGTCCCCTGCTTGCGCGGCCCCCGACGGGGGTGGTGGTCGAAGCCCGCCAGGTATGGGGGCAGCGCTGACCAGGAGGCGAGCGGCCCATCTGGGTCAGATCCCATGGCTGCTCAGTTGCACAGTCTGGTCCAGCATGCAGGGCGCGCGCCCGCTACGGCAGGGGCGCCTGCCATCTGCTTCGAGCAGCGCCTGCCCCACCTGGAGCCCCTTGCACTGCAGCAGGGCTCGCTGGAGGGCGACCTCCGCATCTGCGCCCAAAACGGAAATACTTGGAACTCGATCGCCAGCGCCCTCGAGTGGCTGCGCAGAAGAGGGGCCGAGCCGCGCGTGACGCTGGCCCAGGGGGCTCGCTTTTCCTCCCAGACGGCCGAGGAGCAGGCCCACGGATGGGCCAACCGATGCGACTTCCAGTTGGCATGCTCGGCAGCGCTCAGGACTGGAGAGGCCGCCGTGGCTGTCTCGTCTGGCGTCGGCATCGCCGCCTCGAAGCTGCTGGGCTCGGCGCGGTTCGCCCGGCCCTGAGCAGGCCAGCAGCGCGGGTTCCTCTCCCGCATGATCTCGCCGGGCAAGGGCGCCACCATCGCCGTGATCTCGGTCTACCTTGAGGAGTCCGTAGGCCTGCAAGGGTCCAATCGCCAGCTGCTCGCCGACCTCCACAAGTGGTGCGCTCTCCCTTCGTGATTGGCGGCGGCTGGAACATCGAGGCCTCGGAGCTCGTGGACCCAGGTTGGCCTGCCCCCAAAGGGGGGGCGGTGCTGGCCCCAAGATCAGCGACTTGCAATGACACCGAGTACGACTACTTCGTCATCTCGACGGCGCTAGAGGCTATGGTGGGCTCCATCGCGGCTCACGCGGACACGCCGAACGGTCCTCATCGAGCGGATGCTATTGCGTTGCGCGGATGTTGGGGGCGACCCATGGCGCAGATCCAGCGGGTGCCCAAGGCCTTTGATTTGGAGAGCGTGTCCGACGACGCGGCCAGAGGCAGGCGCGACCAGTTGGTCGAGTCGCTCGCTCGGCCCCTTGCCGACGCTGGGCCTGAAGGCCCCATCGAGGCGCGGTTCACCCAAGCGGAGATGGCCTTGCAGGCCAGGCGCTACAAGGCATCTCGGACGAGGAGGCCCGCTTGTTCAAGGGAAGGGCCAAGGCGTCAGGGCCGCCACCGCCCCGTGCGAGGTTAAGGCACGCGCTGGCCGACCCGGCCATCGCCCAGCGATGGCTCTCCCTCCGCCACCTCGCCAGGCGCAGACGGGGCCCGGGCCCAGGCGGCTCGCCAGGAGGCTGCGCGACCCGACGAGAGCAGCAGCTGCGCGAGGCGGCGCTCCGCCTTCGCGGCGAGTTTCAGGACCTGGGAGCCACTGTCTTCGACGGCGCCATTTTCCCCCAGACAGACGTGGGCTGCAACCTCATGGCCATGATTGAGCAGCTCGCGGTCAAACGTGCCAGGGGGGGCGCCCAGGCCAGCAAGCAGAAGTGGGACGACTTCACCGAGATGGCCTTCGAGAGGAAGGGGCCCGCTGCCCGCGAGGTGTCCAAGAAGACCCACGTCGAGCCAACGCCCGTCCTGGAGGCGGGCTTCACTGACGATGCTCTCGTTGGACAGCCTGCCCTTGAAAGGGTCCTCGCGGACTGGCCCCCTCTCTGGGTGAGGCCAGTTCGGACGAAGCAGGAGCGCCCTGGGCATTGGGAGTCTGGGGAATGGTCGCTCAATCCCATCGCGATCGACGAGTTCAAGCTGGTGGCCCGAAAGTTCCCCAATACCTTCGGCTTGGGGTGGGGCAACTTCCATCCTCGTGCGCTGCTGGAGGTCGGGGGCGATGTCCTACGTAGGCTCGCCAGCGCGCTTAACTCCTGGGAGCGCTGCCCGCGCCGCGGCGAACTCTGGGCCGTCATCGTGGTTTTCCTGCCCGAGCCCGACGGCGGCCAGCGCCCCATCGGGCTCGTGCCGCTGCTCGCCAGGATCTGGTCCCGCAGCCGACTGAGGGGGCGTGCTAAGTGGGAGCGGTCCATCGACCAACAGGCTTTGTGGGGCAACTCCTCTGCGTTGGTTGCGACCTGGCGGCCTGGCTTCGCGACGTTTTCGCGGCCCGCGCGAAGTTCAACCTTGAGGAGGCTGGGTCCGTCTACGCCGCCCTCGCAAAGTACAGCGAGCACATAGGGCACGAGGAGCTCAGAATTGCGGCCCAGGCGTGGGGTTTCGACCAGGGGCCGCTGCGAGCGCTGTGCTGCACTTATCTGGCCCGTCCGAGGGCCCGCATCGGCACCTGCCTCAGCGATGCGGTCATGGCGAATGGCACGGTGGTTGCTGGATGTTCGCGCGCCGCGGCTTTGGCCCATCTCCTCCGCATCTCGGCCCTCAGAGCAGCGGCTGTGGCGGCTCCCTCTGCCAGGATCCTCAACGTGGTCGACGACGTCTCGTGCTATGTGACTGGGCCCTGCACCTGGGTTTCCCAGCAGCTCGCCGCTGCTTATCGGGCCTTCTGCCTCAAGGTGAAGGAGGCCCACCTGCCGCTCAGCAGGAACAAGACCAAGGCGTTGGCCACCGGCAGGAAGCTGCGAGAAGCCCTCATGCGCCAGCCTGGCTGGGACATCGAGGGGGGCGACTTCGTGGACGTGCGCAGGAACCTTGGTGGCGACTCTGTGGCTGGTTCCTACCAGCGGGCGACGACAGCAGTGGCTCGGGGAAAGGCCGCCCGCTGCCAAGGGGGGAAGCTCACCAGGCCTGTCAGGCCCTCAATCAGCCGTGCGAGAGTTGTCAGAGCAGGGCCCACGGCTAAAGCTTCCTGGGGGTCGGCGATCATTGGAGTGCCCAACGGCCGCTTGCGGCGGCTGCGTGTCGGAGCCATCAAGGCGAGAGGTCGCTTGGGCCGTGGAGCCGCCCCGGGGCTGGCCAGCCTTGGTCAGTCAGGAGGTTGGCAGCGGGACCCTCCCACGATCGTCGCCAAGGCGGCGCTGACGGCCTACGTCGAGATGGTCTGGGCCCCCCTCCTCCCCGAGTCGGTGGCCCGCTCCTGCCTCGCCATTGGCCTGGGCATCGCCAAGAGGCAGCGCCCCTGGCGCATGGTGAAGGAGCCGATCAGCGCGCTGGTGCTCACGCTCGAGCGGGTCGGCTGGGGATTCGTCGACTGCGACCCCTACAGGATCCACGACGCGCTGGGCCACGATGACCAGGTGCGTCGCTACTCGCAAGCCTTCTTCGGCCACGTGGTCTCTCCGGACTGCCGACGAGCCATGGGCCTCGAGGAGGTGAAGCGGCACGGCTCCAGCATGTGGGACTGGGAGATCCAGCCTTTCTGGCAGCCGATCCTCGGCCTGACCAGCCATTGCCCCGAGGTGTGGGACCTGCGCCACCAGGGGGCTCATCCAGAACACCTACGGAGCGGAAGACCCCTCCTTCCCCAAGAGTCCAAGCGTTGCCAGCTCTGCGGCCGCCCCGTCGGGCCCCTCTTCCACAGGCATTTCAGGTGCGAGGCTCACGAAGGCTGGAGGCGGGAGTTCCTGGAGTCGCCCTTGCGGGAGGCGGTGGGCCGAGTCGAGAGGTTGGGCTACCCGTTCACGGAGCTCTGTGCCAGCAGGCTGTTCCCCGACATCTCGGAGTTGGCCCGGAGACCTCGTCGGACCGACGACTTTTTCAAGCACGCGACCAGCTGGCTGAGCTTCGGGCCCTTCGCCGACGGAGAGCCCGTCTTCGTCGATGGATCTGGCTCGACCAGTACTGCCCGAGCCTGAGGACTGCTGGCTGGTCCATCATCGTCTACGTCAAGAACCGTAGGCTGGTCGCCGAGGCGTGGGGCTCGGTCCCGCTGTCGGAAGGGCTTGAGCAGCTGGCCCGAGACGGGGAGTACCGCGCCGTGCAAGTCCTCGCCGACACCATCGCGGGGGGGACCCTTCAAGCTCTATTGCGACTGCCTCGCGACGGCGCGCTGCGCTGACAACCCTGTGGCGGCGGCGGCTGCTGACAGCGGGCGAGCCCGCCTCTGGGCTGGGCGCGTTGAGAGGCTGAAGGACGCTGAGGCCATCAAAGTCAGGGCACACCTGGGGCCGCAAACCGTCAGGGAAGGTTTGGTCACGCAGTTCGAGCTTGATGGCGTTGCTTTGGCCGATGCGAGATCTAAAGAAGGTGCCGCGGCAGCGCGGGTGGACAGCTGCGACATCCACTGCGTCGACGGCCGCCAGTTCGTCGTTCGCCTGGCGGCGAGACTTGCGGCAGAGCAGGAGGTGCACATCTCGGGGTCGGGCCTCCGCGACTCCATGGGGGCCAGGGCGCCCTGGAGATCATCGACCTCGGCGAGTGGCCCGTGGACCCCGCGGAGGTCTGCGAGGAGGATGCGGCCCCGTCGGCCAGCGCGGACCCCGTGTGCACAGGGGGGAGTCCGCTGCCAGGGCTCGCCGGAGCGCTGAGGCCGTGGCGCGTGTGCAGGCACCCCTTGCTCGCTGCGCCCTCCTCCCCGAGGCCCGTGAAAATTCGGTCCTCTTTTTCTGCGCTTGTTTTAGAGGTTATGCTTCTGGCAGGAAGGGGCGCGGCCTCCAGGATAACTGTCCAGGTCGGCCGATCCCGAGTAGCAAGAATAATTTTAACACCGCCCAGGGCAAGCTTCCCAAAGGGGGTGCTAGAAGGCTCGGGGATCTCAGGTCTCCGTCGGATGCCGGAATTCAATTTTGGTCCGAGCACTTTTCCCCGTTGCGCCCTGAGGCTGCCCAGGTAGGGCCTGCGTCGGAGGGCCCGGAGAGGCCGTCTCTTCTGGATGTGCTCCCGCTCTTCGGGCTCCAGGTGGCCCAAGCCCAGCTCTTGGGGTCGAGGGCTCTGGAGGCCAGGACCAGGGCTTTGGCGGCCAGGCAGCGGGGCCGTGCGGCCGCCCGGCCTGGCGACCCCTTCGGCCCCTGATCGCTGACTCCTCCCAGCTGCGGCTGGGGGGAGTTAGGGTCAGGGGTTGGAGGGGTCCTTAGGTCGGTCTGAATTTGTTTTGCATGACCTTTCAGGTCGAGTCTAGCCTCCTCCCTCCTCCTCTTCCTACTCTCTCTCTCTCTCTCCCCTCCATCTCCTCATCGTCGTCCTCCCTCCTCCTCCTCCTCCTCCTCCGCCTCCTCCTCCTCCTCCTCCTCTCCTCTTCCTCTTTCTCCTCCTCCTCCTCCTCCCTCCTCCCTCCTCCTCCTCCTCCTCCTCCTCGTCCTCCTCCTCTCCCGTCCTCCTCCTCCTCCTCCTCCTCCTCCCTCCTCCTTCTCCTCCTTTCCCCTCCTCATCTTGTTTTCTGGTGGGATTCCTCCTCCCTCCCCCCTTTGTTGTTCATCTCCCCTCCTCCCGCGCCGCCTCCGTGCCGTCCTCCCCCCTCGTGTCCTTCCTGCACTCCCCTCCCTGCTCCCTCCTCCTGCCCTCTTCGTTTTGGGTCGTTTTGCTTACGTCCTAAACTTAAGTCGGGCATGTCCCTCTACAGGAGGAATACCCAAACATTTTCTAACATGGGAAGGCTTCGATTATTTGATGACGTTTCGATGCTTTCATATTTTCTGAGCACTTCTATTTCTCGTCCAAAACCGGCCTGTATGGGGGATATGCCCGACCTAATCTTAGAAGGGGGCACGCCCCCGCGCACACCCGTGCGTGCGAGCAGCGCCGGGATGCCAGCGGCGCGCGCGCTCTGGTGGTTCCAGGCCACGGCCCATGCTGCCGCTGCACCTCTGCCCGCCGTCCGTCGCCCGTCGCCACCGCCGAGCCCCGCACTGTCGGTGAACCCTCGCCTGTTTTAGGCAATCGCAAAAATGGATCAAAGGGGCGCGGGTTAGCGACGGGTCCCGCTTCCATGGGGAATCGCGGATTTCCGCCGCCGACCGAGGCGGCACCGGCCGCATTTTGGGGAGGGCACCTCCCCCGATCCATGGATTTGGCGATCGCGCGCCGAATCCATGGATCGCTAATCCATGTTTGCGCGCCACCGATACTCCGGTCAGATCGGGAGTAAATCCCATGGTTAATCTGGGCCACCTTTTGCGACTTGGTCCCTTGACCTGGTCTGAGAACCCCTGGCCGTTCGTGCGAAGACCTCCCAGCAGTTGCTTCCTGGATTACGTTGAACGTCTTAGCTTAAGCCCTCCCCTCTCTCTTCTTCCTCCTCCTGCCCTATTTCTTATTGTCCGTCTTCTTATGATTGTTCTTCTTCTGCTTAATATTGTTTTTTATTCGTCGTACTCTTCTGATTATTATTGTTATTAGTTTTCCTCCTCCTCACTTCGTCCTCTTCCTTCCTTCCTCCTGCCCCTCCCCCTCTCTCCTGGCTTCCGCATCGTCGAGCCCATTCCCATGCCCGTGGGGCCAAGACATCTCGGCCCCGCCTGCCCATCCCCCCAGGCGGGGAAGGGCCCCGCGAGACCCGAAGGGAACAATGCCTTTCCCCACCTGGGGGGACAGTCGGCAAGTGGGCCCAAGTCAGGAGGGGAAAAACAAAGAGACACAATTAATCGTCGATTCCCAGGAAAATATGTGAAAATATGGGAAGTGGGGGGGAAGACAGAAACCCAGAAAATATTGGAAAACATGGGGAATCCGGTTATTTGTGTGTATTTCTTTGTGTGTCCCAGGGCCCCTTCACCAAGGGCATTCCAGCGGGGATGGTGATCGGTCGAACGATGCGCCTTGCCGCGGCCACAGCGCCGTTCGCCACGGTCCTGAGAAGGTGGACCCCGCCAGCCCGAACCTCCTGGCGCAGCGGCAGTTCGCGGCCTCCAAGCAGCAGTGTCAGGACTCGAAGAGATAACATGGCATAAACCGAAAGTTTTTGGCACTGCGCGTGGACTTCTCGGATCGGCGCTTGGGACCCCTGGCGGCGCCTCTGGCCCAGCCCCTTGCGCGCCCCGCGCGCCAGGGAGGGAGATCCCGCGACGATCCAAGAAGTTCACGCGGAGTTCCGAACGTCTATGTTTGTGCCGTTTTGGCCTTCTGAGGACGAGAGCGAGCTCCTGGTCGTCATCAGAGTCGTGAAGGCTCGAAAAACAAAGATCTGCACACACACACACAGTCTGGATGAGAGGGTAAACGCCCTGGGTCGCGGGTGGATCCCGGGTGGGTCGCGGTTGGGTCCCGGGTGGGTCGCGGGTCGGGTCGCGGGTAGGTCGCGGGCCGGGTCGCGATCCGCTGACGGGGTTGGGCACAGCTCTCCGTGCAGGTTTCTCGGATCTGCGCTGACCCAGCCACCTGGCGGCGCTTCCGCCATCGCACGTGGCGCGCTCCGCGCGCCAGGGAGGGGGGGCCGGGCGCCGATCCGAGGAATCCGAGCGGACCTCCGCAGCTGATGCTTTATGCAGTGCTTGGCTCCTCCGCAGGCGGAGCTGAAGCGCAGCTGCCTCAAGATCGGCAAGATGGACCCGTTCGCCGTCGTGACGTGGACGGACGGGGATGGCTGCCAGTGGCAGGCCTCGTCATGTTGTTTTGTTATTTCTCTTTTTTGTCTTCTCTCTCTCTCTCTCTCTCTCGACTGAGAAGACGAACAGGAAGACGAGTAACATGAATCATCGTAAGGCCAATGCTACTATTAATATGGTTAATCATGACAAATACAATAACACACGCGAAGAAGGCGACCGCTGGAGCTCAGCGCTTGGAGCGGCGCTGGAACCCCATCCCTGGCGCGCGGAGAGCTCCCGGGGCGGTGCCCGGAGGCGCCGCCAGGGGGGGCCATGCGCCGAGCCAAGACGTCAGCGCGGTCCTTCCAGACATTCGTGTCTGTGTTTTTCCCCCGGAAGTTTAGGTTTGCGCATGTGCGGTGCTTTTGTCCGTCGATCCTCCTCTCGGCGGCGAGCGATGGGGGAGGAGTGAGAAGGAGGAGGCCTCCTCAGAAGGCAGCGGGGCCCCTCGGAAGGCCTCCTGGGCCTTCCGAGAGGTTTCTGTCCCGTGTCTGCGGGGAGGGCCCAGACATTTTCTCGGAAGGCTGGTGGACTTTCGAGCCTCATGAGGAGGGGCCGCGCGACGGGGAGGCGGTCGATGGGGGGGCAGCGACCCCCTCTCACGTCCCCTCTGGGCTCGCCGCCGGTCCAATTCCCCTCCTCCTCCTCCTCCTCCTCCTCCTCCTCCTCCTCCTCCTCCTCCTCCTCTTCCCCTTCCTCCTCCTTCTCCTCCTCCTCCGTGGCTCCTTGTGCCCTGCTCCCTGCTCCCCGCCCTCCTCCTCTTCTCCCCTGCTCCTCGCGCCTTGCCTCCCGCTGCCCGCCCCCCTTCCTTCCCCCCTTTTCTCCTCGACCTCCCTCCCTCCCCTCGTCCGGCTCCCTTCCCCTCCCTCCTCCCCTCCTCCCCTCCTCCCCCCTCCCCCCCTCCTTCCGTTCCATGTCCCTCCTTCCATGCCGTCTTGGCGTAGCGTTTGCCGTCCAGTCTCCCATCATGGACAGTGGGGATCCGTGTGAGTGAGAATTGGGAGGGTCTGGACACCTTGCGTCGGTTCGACGCGTTCCGTCCGCTCTGTCGCGGGGGTCCCATCGTACTGTACCATAGTTGCTTCTTGGCGCCCGTGCAGCACTATTCAGTTTGTTGTTTTTCTGATATTCAGCTAGCTGCAGTGCCGCACTCCGCTGACAGGTCATCGGCTTCAACAGCTTTGTAATACAACAATCCCTCTCTGCATCCCGGTCCTGAGCCAAGCCGAGCAGAAGGCGATGCGTCCGAGGGCAATGATCTGAGGTGCCGGGGCGTTCATCGTGCGCCACTTGCATTCCGCAACGGGTTCCACTTCACTCCTCTCCTTCCCCGCATCCTCACCCTGCTGACTCCCCCCGACTTCCCGTGCAGCACCACCACCGCCAGACGTCCGTGGGACTACCTCGGGTCCAGCTGCCGACGGGTGGTCGTCGGCTTCGTCGGCTTCCGGCCAGGCAGGGCCAGTCCAGACCCGCCAAGAGACCCAGAGATCCAACGTACTGAAAATTCACGACGGGAGGTTTTCGGCAATTTTTTGCCTCCGGGGCCCTTGCTGGGCCCCAGGACAGTCAACACGACTATTTCTGAACTCGGTTCAGGGCAATGGGTCGGAACTTCCAGGGACCCCTTACAACCAAAAAATCAGGACAACGCATGTCTGGGCTTGTGTGGAGCCCTGGATAGCGTTGCTGGGTTTTTCCCCTTCCATACTTGCCACCTCTTCTCCCCTACTGGTTCTTCTGTTCCTCTTTGTTCTTCTCCCTGTCTCCCTCCCGCTCCTCCTCATCCTTTGTTCTCATCCTCCACCTCCCTCTTCCCCAGTCTCTCACAGTTCATTCTTATTATCCTCCCCATCTTCCACTTCGCTGCCCCCCCACCTCGTCAGGGCTCTCGCACGCAGACGGACCACAACGGCCACCTGAACCCGCAGTGGGAGCACACCTGTCGGGGCCAGCAGTACTCCGGTCGGGGCTGTGGTTACAGCGTAGAGTTCAGGGTCAAAGACAAGGACCTCCTCCATCCTCCTACCCAGTTCCTTCCCTCCCTCCTTCACCCTCTGCCTTCTCCCTTATCATCTCTTTCTCTTCCATCCCCTCCTCCTTCCTCCTACTATTCCTCCCCTCCTCCTCTTCCTCCTCCTACTCCTCCTCGTCCCTCTCGATCCTCCGTTTCCCTCCGTTCTCATCTCTTTTATTGCCTCTCCTTTCTCTAGCCTCTGTGTTCGCTCGGAGGCATGTGGCACAGTGCAGTGGCCTCTGGCAACAAGAGCCCTCTCCCTCCTTCCTTTACTCTTCCGCACCTCCTCATCCTCCTCATCATCGGAATGATCATCATCATCATCACTAAGCGTCACCGACACCATCACCATCGCCATTATCAGCAACGCCATCGCCATCACCATCACCATCACCATTATCATCATCAGCAGTATCAGCAGTATCATCCTCGTCATTATCATCATATTAATCATGAGTTTGATCATGCTCATACTCGTCATCACCATCATCATCACCATCATCACCATCATCACCACCACCATCAGCATCTTCATCTCCGCATCCTCATCATCATCATCATCATCATCATCAACATCACGATTATCATCATAATTACACTCACCACCATGCGGATCACCATCACCTCACAAACATCATCACCATCATCAGCATCATCAGCATCGCCACCATCATCATCATCATCACCATCATCATCATCATCATTATCACGATCGTCATCATCATCAGACGTATACGCATCAGCACCAGCATCCACATCCTCATCCTCATCACCCCCATTTCCACCATCATCGCCAGAACCATCACCATCACCACCAGCATCATCCTCACCACCAGCATCATCCTCACAATCATCACCGTCAGCATCACCATCACCACCATCATCATCACCATCGCAATCAGCGCCATCATCACCACCAGCATCGTCGCCATCACCACCACCAGCATCATGATCATCATCACCACCAACATCATCACCATCATCACCCTCATCATCAACACCATAGTCATCATAATCATAGCATCATCATCGCCATCATTATCAGCATCACCATCAACAGCATCATCACTGTCATCCCTACCACCACCACATCATCATCATCATCAGCATCATCATCATCATCATCATCATCATCTCCATCGTCCCTGATCTGCCGTCTTCTCCTGCTCCCCTGCCTCGTCCCGCCCCCGCCGACGACGACGCCGACCGCGAGGACGACGACGAGGACGACGACGACGACGACGACGACGCCGACCGCGACGACGCCGACGACGACGCCGACGCCGCCGCCGCCGACGACGACGACGTTGACGACCTTCTCCTTCTCGCTTCCCCCCCCCTCGCTCGTCGCCGATCCTCCCCGAGGACACGTGCCTGGGCGCCGCCAGCGTGCTCGTGGACGACCTGCTCGGGGAGGCGCCCCGCCCCCCCGCGGCCCCGCTGCCTCGTGGGGGCGGGGGGCGTCGAGCGGTCCGATGCTCTCTACATTGCTTAGTTTGTTATCACAAAACATAGTGTTAGTATTCATATTATTAATATACGAGAAAACAAAAGAAAACTTTTTTCCCTAATGAGCCCAGTCCACTTCGGGCCCGCAGCGGAGGTGGAAGGGCAGGACAGGTGGCTGCACGATGACGGTCGGACGCCCGACGCAACCCCTGCCCGCCGGCCACGCCGTCGGGAAGGGGTTGCGTCGGGCGTGTCCCTCTGCAGGAGGAGTCTTCGAAACTAGTCAGAGCATTGCCTGGGGAGGATGTCTCGACAAGTTTCGAATATGCTTGAACATTTGCCTTGACATGTTTGACACTTCCGTTCAACATTTGCCCGTAGGAGGGTCTGCCCGGCCTAAGGCGATGGGGGTGGGAGGTTCGGGGGGAGGTGCTTGAGTGGATGGGTATGGCGGGCTTTCAGCCCTCCCCCGCCTTCGGTGCTCATCGCTTCCTTTTCCTCCTCTTCCGCCTCCTCCTCCTCCAACTATGCCTCCTCATCGTCCTCATTACCCTCCTGGCCTACTTTGGATAGCAACAACCAGCGCGTTGTTTTCTCGCAGCGGGGCCCCGCCCCATGGCCACGTGAACGCGCAGTGGGAAGTATTCGGCGTCGTTCTCTATAAGAACCGTCTTGGCGCTAGCGCCTTGCATGCGTCGGAAGCAGCACCGCATGGTTCTATGTAGTAGCGGCCTGCATGCTCCCCGAGCCACGCGCGCAAGAGGGAACCCATTGTGGCAGAATGCAAGAGGAATCTCTCTGCGGTTGATTGCCAAGGGTTTGTTCCATGTGGCAGAATGCAGGAAGTTTTTTTGTGGCCGAGTGCAACATGTTTTCCCTCGTGGCGAGATGCATAAGGAGTCCTTTTCTGCCACAGTACAGAAGGATCCTTTTGGTGGCGGAATGCTGAAGGATTTTTTGTGTGGCTGGATACAACAAGAACCCTTCCGTGGTCTATTCCCAAGAGACTCGTTATGAGGGGGACTGCATCGGGAACCCGTTTCTGGTCGAACACAAAAAAAATCCTTTGTGGCATAATGCAAGAACATATTGCTATTGTGGCGGAGTGAACAAAGAGTGGGCCTCTTTTGTGGAGGAGTACAAGCAATTTGTGTGGCGGATTTTCAAATGTGATTCACCATGTGAGCGGAGAAGTAGGAGGAAAACCATGGGGAACAACCAAACGCCATGAGTTCGGGTAAATGTGCCCAGGCCTCGGTTGCAATTATGCCACCATGCGGCCGAAATTCTTTCTGCGTGTTTCGGTGTCAATGGTTTTCCTCATTTTCCCCGATCGCACAGGACATCCGATTGTACCCAGCCTGAAAAAATCATGCTGTATTCCGCCACAAACGGATCCCTTCGCCACACAAGGGATCCTTTAATATTGTTGCAGTCGGCCACACAGGAAATCCTTCTGTAGTCTTCTGCAAATGAAGTTTTTGCAAACCGACGCAAGGGGATTCATTTGTATTCAGCCGCAGGAGGAACCAGTTTGCGTAAGTTTGCAGAATGAAAGGGCATTGTGTTTCCGGTGGGGTCATTTGAATGACATGGACATGGAGAATGGATTTTCGAGTGGATTGCACATATGATGTGGCGGGTGTCAGAAGCAACATATTGTAGTGGCCTTCGGCCAGTGCCGCCGATCCGGGTCTCTTGGGGTGCCCCCCGGACTGGGCGGCGACACTTCGCCGACAGACGCGTACGCACACGCTCGCAGACATTACGCGCACACAATGCACACACACAAGCACACACTCGCACACACACACATACACACACGCACACACGCTACACACACCCACAGACACACACACACACCGCACTCACACACGCGCGCCACCTTCGCAGGCACATGCACACGCACACGCCGGCAACACACACACACATACACACACCGCGCACACCGCACAAACACACACCACACAATAGACACGCATTTCACCGCCACATTCGTCTTCCCTCCCATTTGTTCTGCTTTTTCCGCTCTTGTCCCGTTCCACTTGTCCCTCCCTCTTTCCCCGATTCCCTTCTCGCGCGCACGGACAAACATAGCCCCTCGCACGCGCGCGCGCACCCCCTCTTCCCCTCTTTCCCTTGCAGAGCCACCCCAGCAATCCACCGAGAGGCTGAAACTCAGCCTCGAGGCTGTGTCTGAGGCTCCATCAAACTCACGCCACGGACCCCCCCGCTTCCCCTCACCCACGCCATCGGAAATCACGCCACCGGAAGCCTCCCCTCCTCTTCCCCCAATTCCCCTTGGCGGGGCGGGGGACCAGACCCCCCCCCCACGCCACCGGAACCCACGCCACCGGACCCCCACCCCCCTTCCCCTACCCAGGCAGGGCCACCCCGGCCACTCCCCCTCTCTTCCCCCAATTTCCCGTGTCCACAGGCGGGACGGGGGACCGGACCCCCCCCCCAAGCCACCTGGAGTTGCCGGGCCCCCCCTTCCCGGTACTCCGGCAGAGCCGCCCCGGTCATGCCCAACCCCTCAAACTCACACGCCGGATCGGCCGATTTGTTGTTATTCTCTTTGGGAAAAGAGCGTCGAACCGCCCAACCCTGCTTTGTGCCTGGGGCGGGAGGGGCTCCAGGCACGATGCAGACCTGGGCGGTTTGAGCTTTTCTGTTTCCAGCGAGCCATTCGACTTTTTATTGTAATCCGCCGCGCAAATGATCCACGCGTGTTCGACCCAACAAGAAACCCCCATCCCACTGGGATGGATGCGTTTGTATCCCGCGACAGGAAGGATACCGCTGTGATGTACCAGTTCTTGCGGTGGCGCAGTATTGAGTTCGGGGTGCAATAAATATGGAAAACTTCGCGGCATAATTCGACACGGCCAGTGTTGCGGCGGAGTACATCAGTAGCATGCCACCCCCTTTGTGGCGGAATGCTGAACTATTCTTTTGTGGTGGTTTATGAAAAAGGATATTTTTTTGGGGAAAAAATTGGAATCTTTTCGTAGCCGATTACCAATGTTTTCCCTTCGTGGCCGAATGCACACGGCATCTTTTTTTGGGGGGGGTGCCGATTGCCAAACGTTTTACCCTGTGACATAACACAAAAAGGATAGATACCCTTCATGGCGGAATTTGAGGTTTTGTTGTGCGCTTTTTTCCTTCCGAAATTCATTTCGTTTTTCGCTTGCCGTTCCGGGCAAACATCCACGCAGGAATCCACGCAGGAATCCGCTGCAGCACGTCTGCAAAGCCGGTGCAATGAGAAAGTGTGTTTTTAGCTTGTCCCCTCGTCCTCATAGCGTCCTCGACGGCCCAAGAGGCCGCCAGGGCCGCCAGGGTCGACGCTGGAGACGCCGCCAGGGGCTTGGCATCGCTCGGGCGTGTGCATTTTTTCTGTGGGGGCCATCGGAGAGCATCTTGGGTTAACTGGCGAAGAAGTAAACGCACGACATCGAACAATGCACGGGGAATGGACGTACGAGCGATGGCAATGGGGGGCCCAGTGCCGATCCAAGGACTCCACGTTGACAGTCA